TAGCTTAAAGATGCACAAGGAAAAAATAATCAGATGAACAGATCTAGATTAACATCTCCTTCACTACCTGTAGCACCAGATCCAAGAGGAATGAATTTGCCCAAAGGTCTTGGTCAAGGCATGGGAAGCTACTGATTGCCAAGGTGACTCTTCTAAACGCCTTTCATCTCCAAACTGGATAGAGAGACCCCAATGCCTTTCCAGAGGAGAGAGAGGCCCGTGGTCTCACATTACTGAGAGAGGGGTAGGGACCTCTGTCCCCATCACTTTAACCTGGGCAGGGAGGAGCATGATACCGTCAACCAGGGGAGCTACAGAGGCTCTGGTTCTGCAGGATCCCAGTGTGCCTGCACTTCTTACTTCAGTTTTGTAATAAATAGAAGGAAAAAATGTTTTTTGTGGATCAAGAAGACTGTCCAGAAATTATTAGACTTCACCTCGTGTTAGTTTAATTTTTTAAAAATAGCCCACTGCACGTAAGCTATATACATATCAAAGGCATTCTGGAGTGCCTTGCAAAGAGTAATGCATTATTAAGCTAGCAAACCCCTATGGGTGGGAGGATGCAAGTAGAGAGAGAGGATAATAATTTGCTCAGGGCTACATATTGTTAGGCAGAGTTAGGGATACAGTTTTTGTGTTTTTAACTATGTTTCTCAGCTGATACCCATGGAATCCGGTAAAAGTATCAGTTAAAAATTAAATATTGCACTGCATTTTGCTTTTAGTCTGAGCAAATCCTTGAAGAAGAATATAATGCTGCAGAATTGCAATATCATTTTCCAGTCTGCAAACAAAAAGTTCCTCAAGACCTCTTTTTTTTCTGAGCAGGTAAATGTCACGAAAAGAAATAGCCAAATTTTGGACATGTTAAAACAAATCCACCTGCATATCCAAAATACAGTGAAAATGAATGATTCAGTATTCAAGTACAAGGCAGCAAAAAATCTCAGAGGCAGATTATTGGGTACTGTAACGTAGATAAGGAGACCTCAAGGTTTTAATGAGTAAGATAAAGGCAATGCTAGACTTATCTGCAGAATAAGACTTACTAAGTGTAAGTCTATATATAAAAATTAAAATTAAATATAAGCCTATATAAATAGACTTACCTGCAGAATCAAAACTAGGGTGAAATAAAAATTTGAAAGTATGACTTTCCATTCTCCCCTCTTAAAAACAAAACAGAACAAAAAACCCAAACAGTCCTTCCCAGTTTGTAGCTGAGAAGCCAAGTCAAGTCATTAGTTCCTCCATGTCATCTCCTTTCCCCTGTCTGTTCTATATCAGCAGCTGTTTTGGGTTACCCAGAGACAGACGGTAAATGTTGGACAGTCCTGCTACAATGTTTTACAGCTTTTATAGGGATCGTAGCTCCATACAATTTTAATCAAACCAGCATGCTTGCATCCAATTTGTTTAAAGTTATTACGACTCTCCTAATTTCAGTGTGTTTTTCTGTCTGTATTCATCAGCTTGAGCAAACAGTTTTGTTTTAAAGTCCAGAGCATGTTGGAGAATGAGCGATTTCACTATCATAGGCTGGAGTCTTTAAGACTTGTATTTTCTATTTCAATCCTTAGTGGCCTTCTTGCCCATATTATTCATATTCTTAAAATATTCCAGTTAAATTCTTTAAGTATTTTTAATGCCTAAATATACATGCAGTGCCTCTCCCAATTAGATTGGCAGTCTAATTGCTGTACAGGGTGGTGTGTACGTGCACTCAAATTGGAATTTATGCTGACTGGCTAGCATAATTAGATTTTGCTGTCGCATTTCATTTTAGAATAAACTACATTTATTTCCCTTACGCTACACTGAGGAAATAAGTTATAGTTGAAGTAGTCATATTTTTACAGACTTCCCTAATATTCAGTCTAAATTCATTTGGTATTTCAGATTCTTTTACCAAGTGCAGCAGTTCTTTAGTGCCAATACATCTGAGAAAGTTTTCAGGTTTGATTTCTATTTCTGAGGGGCAGCTACTAGATGCTGGTCATGTTTAAACCAGGGTCTCTTATGAGGACCTAGGACCAGTCTAATCACAGAATCATTCAGGTTGGAAAAGACCTCTAAAGTCATCAAGTCCAACCGTCAACCCAACACCACCATGACCACTAAACCATCTCCCCAAGTGCCATGTCTACAGGTTTTTTTAACACCTCCAGAGATGGTGACTCCACCACTTCTCTGGGCAGATGTGGTGGGAGGCTTTATTAGAATTACCTGCCATTATCAGTATCATTACAAACAAAGTTTCCTAGCAAAGACAAGGTTTAAAGGAGAGCTGGGCAGCACTGATTTTTTTCAAGCAGCAGTGCTGGTGGCTACAGCCAAACTGTAATTTACTTAAGCACACATGCAGTGAAGTCACTGCAGTGAATGCCACTTTGTATTGAATATTTGAATATTCATTTTTGTAGGCCACAGTACAGGGTATATCCAGTCACACTGTACTTGCCTTCAGTTTAAGTTCTTAATTACACAGGATGGACCCAGAGCTTGCCCAGTGCAGAGGGAGCGCTTAGAAATCAAAAGGCGTATAAAGAGATGCGGGGGCAGGAGAGGAGTTCAGCAACGCACACGCCTTAAGAAGTGATACCATTGCTTAGTCCTGCTGATGAATATGTGGGAAGTAAGGTGCAGTACCAAGATGTGGCTAAATGTACAAGGGTTCGTATCTAATGAGATTTAGAAAGATAAACTAAAGAGGAGAGTTTTGAAGTAAACCATGGAAATGTAACTCAGCTTTGAGATCAGAAAATGGTATTTGCTATGAATAGAAGGTCTGTCTGTAATTTGAAATGGATTAACTAAAGAGATATTTTAAGGTCAGTGAACTAGCAGTAATTTCTGGTGACAGTGAAATGTTTTCTCCATTCTAGCATTTAATGCAGACAGTATTGTAGCTACTGTAACCCAGATGTGAGATTTTTAGAAACTGTTGACTGTAGTGAAGGTGGCTCTTTGGTGGTAGGAAGAAATTATGACTTTAAACTAGATTTTAAAAAAACCTATTCACTAGTACCTCACATATGATTTAGTAGAGCTGAATTTGAGAGCAACTGATGGATCTGCCTGCGTGTTCCTGCACGCAATTTTGTACTCCAGGGACCGGTGTAATTTGTAGTTGGGAAGCTTCTTTTAGGATTTTGATCTCCACCCCAGAAAACGGAGTGGCAACCCTGAGCAGCATCGAACTATATTCAGTAGTAGAAGTGAAATGTAAAATACATGCTTAAAAAAAAAAAAGGAAAAAAATATTTGAATGTTGAATAGTTTCAAGTTACTGTTGTGATGTTCTTAAAAGTTATTTCTGCTTTCTGTGCTGGACGTCCACGTGTGTGGAAAAGACACAGTTAATGTTCTTTTTCTTTTGGAAAAAAACCTGACACTAGCAGGGGAACAACTGATCTTCAAAAAGTCCGGTCAAAGGTTGTAGTTTCACAGTAGTGTCAGTTACTGTGGCTGTGAAACTGGGAGGCCATGTTTATAGCTACGCATACTCTAGCTTACTGATAAAACACAAGACTGGCAGCAGAGTGTATAATCAAAATGACACGTGAGAATACTGATCACAGATAAGAACAGCGTGTAAATAGGCACTGAAGAGTACTGGCCAATGGTCTTCTCCTCGCTAGCATAGAATCTCCTCTGGTGCTTGTCTTTGCTTCATTTCATGATGAGGATAATGGGCCTCTTCCCAATAGCCTTTGACTTCCAAATGAAGAGTCTAGTGGAAACTGTTCTGTGGAAGTTCTCACATGGTTTCTGAAATGCTAGAGACACCATCTTTAACAAGGAAGGGCTTTTTTGAAGGTGCAACTATAGGTTAATAATCTGGTAATGTGACTGTTGCCAAGGAAACAAAAATTTAATTTTCTGGCTCATTTCAAACATGGAGTTGAATTACATTTCTGTCTCTGCCTTTAATGAATGAATTGTTCCAATATTTGTGAGATTTAATTAAGATGCAGAGCTTGCATGCTGTAGAGGGAGGTTGCTGCAGCAGCCATAATAAACTGGTGTTTATTGTGACAGAGAAGGCATAAATCCAGCATTCTTCACTGTCTCAGCAATGCTCAGACTCAGTCTTAGTGATCTATGAGAAAAAAATAAAAAAAGCCTAAGATAGGAATGATAAGGAATTGGTTTGCTGCCACAGACCAAAGTAAGCTTTGCAGAGAGAAGGTAGGGCATGTTTCCTCCTGCACTTTGCTGAAAAATACAGCAAAGTCCACTTTCTCTCTTGCTAGGGAGAACTCCGTCTTACAATAGGGACGCTGCTTCTAGGTACCTCTGTTGCCACAGTATTGTATGTGCTGGTAGTAGGACTGGTGGCTCTAAATGACCCAAATAATAATATTTTCACACTAGCTTCTCCCCCCAAAGGGAATTAATGTTCCCCTGATAGTGTTCTCAGTCTGTAATTTCTGTTCCTTCCCACTCTTTGCTGGGCTTGCTTACAGAAAGCCGAGTCTGGACCAAAGAGGTTCCTTCTGATCTTCACTTTGCCCTGATCCATTAGCAGTAGGACAGTAAGGTTTCTAAGAGACGGAAACAAGATTTTAAGGAGAGCCTTAAATATCACCTCTACATGTGATCCAAAAGAGAATGTTTAAGTGCCTTAAATAGCTGTAACCTAGCCTAGCCTGTATAACCTGGATAGCTCTATAGCAGTTACATCTGCTTAATTCTCTGGTCAAACAGACGCTAACCTTTGATCTGCAAGTACGTTTGAACCATAAGCCTTTTTTTTCTTTAAGCAGAAATTTTTTAAGGGTAGTCTTCTGTATATTCTTGTACAGAAGTAAGTTTCTATTAACACACTTTTCAAAATACTTACATTTACATATAGTTACCCTCATATGCAGGTTTTTCCGCTTAACAGCCACACTAACCAAACCTGGAATAGTTGTAAACATTAAGAAGATTTGCCTCAACAGGAAGTCCTGAAATATGAATATAGTTTCTGAATATAACTGTTAAAATTAACAAAATACAAGCAACAATTTAATATTGCAGATAACAGAATTTTTCTTTCTTAGGAAGACTATGATCGTCTGAGACCTTTATCTTATCCTATGACCGATGTCTTCCTTATCTGCTTCTCAGTGGTAAACCCTGCTTCATTTCAAAACGTGAAGGAAGAGTGGGTACCGGAGTTGAAGGAATATGCACCTAATGTTCCCTTTTTACTAGTAGGAACACAGGTATATCTAGTTCTGTTCTACTTTATTTAAACCATTCAGATGATTGTATGGGGGTGCCTTTTCTTTGGGCTGGAAGTTCAGGCCTGACAGGACCTGAGCAGGACCTTCTCCTGGCTTTGGAGGTATGACCCTAACAAGTGGCAGAAACTCCAGATCTGTGTTGTTCTCTAATGAGCTTCCTCCAGTTTGTTAAAATACACACACTGTAAACCAGGTGGCAAGATTGGCTGCATCTCTCCATGTGATTTTCTAGAAAGTCATGGGACTTACAGAATAAAATTGTCTGTCCATCCCCACATTATTGGAATTACTTGGGTCTCTAACTGTTTGTCATATCCAATATTTGCTGATGCAAGGGAAGAAGTGAGACAATTTCCTCTTGCTTCTTGTGGGCAGTAGACTTGGCTTCAATTACAAAGTGATCCACATGTTGGTATGATGTTTGGGTTAATCTTTCTGCCAGCGCTGGATATATATTCTGGTATTCTGAGATGATCACATCTAATTGAAGAGCTAAATTACAGAATAAACATTTTTTTTTCTTCCGGATTAAACGTAGAAGTTCACAGCCTAAATTTCCAGGGTTTTGGATCAGGAAGGGTCCACGGTCTGAATCCTGACACAACTCCATTATTATACATGCAACACTCCATTAAATAAATAATTCTGCTTTAAAAAGAAAGTATCATATAGCCTGCTGACTTTTGTTTAGAAAAAGTATCCCAACGTGACTGCAATCTTTCTTGCTAGATTGATCTTCGTGATGACCCAAAAACTCTGGCAAGACTGAATGACATGAAAGAGAAGCCCATATCTGTGGAGCAAGGACAGAAGTTAGCGAAAGAGGTAAACTGGCTACTCCTAAATGAAACCCAAGTAGCAAAGAAGCAACCCCCTCCCCTATTTCCAATCAGTTGCTTCTTCTTTCACCACTTTGCCCATTTCTTCTATGAGTCAAAGTCTGAAACCTTATGACTAGTTAACCGTTAACGCTATTTACTTCCATTGTTGAATACAGCTAACAAGCAGACCTGTGTAATAGCACGTCCCTGTTAGTAATAATTCTGCCTTTCTGTGTAGACACTTGTAAGAACTACAGAAGTGTTAAAATTAAAATCACGGAGTGGTTGAGGTTGGAGGGGACCTCTTCTGCTCAAGCAAAATGTTGGAAACATCTTTAAGAAAGTATTTGAGAATGCTACGCTACCATTTTAACATGCTGCATGAATAATGCTTATCAGGACACTTTATAGAGTCTTATGTTTTGAAACTTGGTCATTTAATCACGTAATTCTTTTTTTGCTGTTGAATTAGAAAAAAATATCTTATCACTGTAAATCCAAAGAGCTTATTTAATATGCTTCATTTATAAACCAAACCAACTTAAACGTATTCCAGATCTTTGGCCAAAAGACAAATCTTCCTTTCTCCTACAGGGTGATCACAGCCAAACTTTATGATGTCACTATAGAAAGAAAAAAAAAAGCAGAAGTGTGCAGATAGAACTGAACAGCTGAACTGCTACTGAATTAACTTATTTTCTTAACAGATAGGAGCCTACTGCTATGTGGAGTGTTCAGCTTTAACGCAGAAAGGACTGAAGACCGTTTTTGATGAAGCTATTATAGCCATTCTAACTCCAAAGAAACACATAGTGAAGAAGAGAATAGGCTCAAGATGCATAAACTGCTGTTTGATCACGTGAGGTACATTTGACAATGGCCAGGCTTACTGTGAAATTCTACTGAATTTAAATACAATGCATTAAGTACACAGCAAACTTGTTACAGGTTTGAAAGCTAAAACTACGATTCTGCCTTCTACAACCAGTGGAATCCAGAGGAATAAAATCAAACTCAACGAACTTGTAGTAAGAAGCCACCACGTTACAAATATTTTATTCAGACTGGAAGGTACAGTCTCTCAGGGTTACATAGTCTAGAGGAAGCAAAAACTGCACCACGCTGAAATGGCATCTATGTGATTTTATTGAGTGGAGATGCTTGGCCTGAAATACTCTGTATGAATTTGGTTAGTCTTCTGCTTTGACTATATATATATATTATAAAAACCAACTTTTGCACAGTCTATATGGAATCTGCACAAAGAAATACCTTGTGTCTCTTTGCTCCAGTTATCTGCTTTTGTATGTAAGCTGCTTTCGGTTCCAGTGTATCCACAGCGGTGCAATAACCAGACCAGCCACATAGCCAAAGGTAGCTCCGAGGGAACAGGAGATGGGCCAGACCTGGGGGGAGAACACGAGGTAAACGTGGGCAACGAGGAAGACGTTTGTGGGGTTTTTTTGTACATTGTGAGCACAAATTCTCAGCGTAATCTAGGTACTGAAAGATGGCGTAGTCTTACTCTACTTTAAAGCTTGACATGCTTTCCTAAAAATGCCAAAAGTGTAACAGTCAACCTGCGTGAACACTAAATGCTGTTGTACAGTTTTTAATTAATACGCATTAAAATGTAACCGGGCTTCTGGCTATCGCAGACCTAAGTTCAGTATTCCCAAAACTGTGTGAAAGAAACCTAAAAGTATTTTTATGCCCTGAAGTGCTCAGCTAACCTGACTTCCTGTTCCGCTGCATGTGTTTGGAAACGCAGAGATTCTTGATGATTTCTCCTTCCAATCTCTCACAGCATTCTGAAACTCTTAGAGGGGTGTATAAATGAACTAATACTCAAATAAGGCCAGAGACTAGAATGGACAGAGGGTTTTTCTTCCTTCTTTCTTGTCTTGAAAAACAGGCAAAGGGATGAATTTCCCTCTAGCTAGCTGTAGGGAGGGAACATAAATTTGGAAACTGACTGAACATCTTGCACCCAGTTCAAGAAACATGTAGTAAGCTAGTTATGTTAAAGAGAGCTTTAATTAAAACTCGATTTCCTAGTCCAAGAACAGGGAACTAACTCAGTACAGCTTACACACACAAACCATGTAGTACTGAGGCAAAGGAGTAATAGGATTCTCCCCCCTGTCCCTTCTTTTTGTTTAAATTGGTGTTGATTTGCAGGAAGGGAGGGGCCAAAACCAAACTTAACCAGTCTGTCCTCAGGTGCACCTTATATTACCAGTTGACTACATACTGCATTTGATGAAAGTCTCAAGTTGGTGATTAAAAATATTTATTGTAGAATAAACTGAATTCCCGCTCCCCTTCAAAATTCTCCTTTGCATATTTTGTTGCAAGGACAATTCTGCAATTCCTGCCGTACAGTGCATGTTCTTGAAGCAAGTACAGGCTGCACTCTCCTATTTTTGTGATTTTTTAAATTAAGGAGGAGATTTCCACCTTTACAGTACTTCAGGCTGAGAAAGGCTAGTCATTAAAGAAAATATCCACATCTCAGAGTCCAGCCTTCTTTTCTACTTCATTTTGACTTGCAATTCATGAATATCAAATGAACCTACTCTTAATGGTACTAGTTCCCCCTTTCATTCATTTTTCTAGCTCTGATTCTTCTCTTTATTACACTTGGAAAAATGTATTTATTCACTTCTTTGATCATGGGAATTTTAACTAGGACTAAGAGTAACGTATTTTGTCCTCTGCTGTTTCATCTTCAGAGTCTCCTCAGCTGTTTCATCTTCACATTCCTTAGCATTTGCCGTTTTATATATTATTTGGAGGTCTTAAGGAGTGTAGCAAAGATGATTATAAACAAGGTGCCTTAGGTACTCTTTATTGACCTTGTTTCATTCTTCCATTTCTGGACATTCTGTATCTGCTACTTGTTTTTGTTGCTGAATACTTTTGCTGTTGCCTCTCAAACCAAAGATTTGCTTGTTTTCATTCATTTAACAGTGGTATTGTAGATCTTCTATAAAAAGTCTTGAGAATCCTTTGGCATGGTAAGATATTATGTATATTTAAAAGTTACATGAGTTTGTGGCCTTGGCTAAAACTACACTTCAGGTGGCTCTTTTCAATTTTTAAATGAAATGTAATTAAGTTATTTCTAGTATTTTGCATATTATACATGTCTAAAGGATAAAACAATAAAAAGTCCCTGCAACCCCAGCTGCTCACTCAGTACCCTTCAGTTAGAACAGCAGTTGTGCTTTCTTATCCACTGATGAAGGCAAATACTAGTTGCAATATCCACAAAACTATGGACAAAGGCTTCGTAACTCAGTGATCCTTTTACATCCCATTATCTGAGCAATCAATGATCCTTCATTAAATTTTACCTAGATTAGGTGAATCTGTAGCTGCCAGTTTGCTTTTCAGAAGTATGGGTAGATGTTGGACTCGGAGTTTTTCAAGTTCCCTTAACTGGAGAGTCCCTGATGGTATCCCTGATGACCCACTCGCCCCATGTCTTTTGGTATTCTGTGTATAGTGGGCAACTGTAGGTATGATTAAAAGGATCTCTGATGATTGTTGTAGCTTCTTTTACCTGACTGAACTGCAACATGGAAAATGTTTTTTCAATAGTTATGTAACTTCAAATATTAATTATGCCTCTTGTCTCCATCTTCCAAAACAAATGTTTGCTTAGTTTCTTAAAAATCAGTGTTACCTTACAGAAGTTTCAGGCTGTCCCACCTAACACGAGTCTCTGACCTTCGAGATCCAACCCTCACCACTGGCAGCTGGCAAAGATAGGGGGCAAAGGGAAGAAACTATAAACCGCTCCGTCTCACTGTCTACGAATAAGAAAGAAAAGACACACCACCTCATCCCTTCTGGTGGCGTAGAACAGAAGGGGACTAGGCCAGGTACTCATTTTGCTGGCTGTATGGCCTGAGGTAGTTCTGAATGCTGGCCTTCTGAAAAGTCCCTAAGCACAGGAGTTAATAGCCTGGACTTAAGAGCGTTGCGGTCCTGATGCTATTTTCTCTAAACCTTGAGGCAGGAAAAAACCCCAACCAAACAGATAGGCAATGGTACTAATTCTGCACCTTTTATTCTTGACTGCTGCCCTTTAGGCTTTAGCCAGATGCACCCATGGGAATATCTACAGCAGCAAGTTATCAAAGACAGATGAAGATGTGGCTCTTAAGCACATCAGCTACACTAAAATAAGAGCCTTGCATATGCTTTTTGTCCATCTACAAAAGTGGGTTGCTTTGTTTTGTGTTAGCTGCTGGCCTTATTCTTCTGAGACCCCATCACTTTCCACTGGACCTTTTTAAATGAATTTGACCTGCTTGATCAGTCTGCATTTGCCCTGTCTTTCACATTACCTCTTAAACTTGGTTTACCTTCCCTGACTTGGTATTGAACTGCCTCTAAGTGATAAAAATCTAAGAAGCTAATATCCAGCTGCCTGTTCTAAGAGATTCCATTCCACTTGTTTACAGTATGCAACTTGTAACACGTCCCTCTCATCCTCTTGAGAACTATTCAGCTCAGTTTCTCCTACTTTACACTCCCTTCAGTCACGAAGAAGCTGATATATTTTACCCCAGTGCTGATGTCATGTCTAGGCTGGGTCAGCAGCAGGGGAATAAGATGTTAGGCAACACTGCCTAACTGCACTCTTTTTTTGAAGGGGAAGAAGGTTGATCTGGAGAGAAAAGTGTGGGGAGCACTGGAGACAGGACAGAACGTTCTTCAGGAAGCTGTGATGAAATGCCTTGTCTGTCCCAGCAGCTGGAAAGCATCAGCTACCAACCTCAGAGCCTAATACAAGAATCAGTTTACACATCAAATGCACGCAGAAAAGGGCAATTTTAACAACCTGTATATGATTATCAGGCATCCAAAGAGCAGCTTGGCAAAAATAAATCTCCACCTCCATGCTTAACGAGCACAAAAATTGGATTTTAAGGGCCGGAGCATGAGATAGTGGTTAATGCAAAATGATCCTGACTTCTGCTATTTGTTTAAATTTTCTTTTTCTTTTCATCTGGCAGCAGTGATAGGACTTAACAGATTTCTTTAGGCTAGCTAAACAGACACTGCAGAACTGCAAAGTTTCTGGTATATGTTAGAACTCATTTTAAGAATAGGACTCAAAATAGGAATTGGCAACTTTTCAGGACACAAACAAGCTAGTTTCCTCCAGTGCTCTTTTGAACACCTATGAGCTGATGCGAAAACGTTTAGCATACTGCATGGAAAGCAGAGCATGTTGCAGGATCCCAGCAAGGTGTTTAGCTCTGCCGTACTACGCATGTAGCTGTTGAACCAGAATTCTGACTGCATGACAGTTCCGTCATCCACCACAAGTCCGTAACTTGCATCCCGTGCAATGGGAATCACACCTAAGACATTGACAAAGACACAAAGGCCAGATTCTTAGAGGACAGAGCAGCAACATCCTAACAAAGCTTTTAAAGATAGTATAAATCAAGCAGCTGACTGCTGGAACTTTATACAAATGCAAATACAGTAGGGCAATCTACTGTATTTACTTTCTCGGTTTTTAAATTTAGTGAACTGGCCCCATTCTTGAGATGAGTGCTTTTCTCATAGTCCTCAACTCTCTTTTTTATATGCTTACTATTTCAAAAGATCCATTTCTGACTGTCAATTAGAAGTTATGTAATAATTTTTTGTTTCATTTTAAAACTGAATAAATGAGCACAATTACTTTCCCTCCCTGTTTCTAACATGCCTTAAATTCCTGATCATTTAGTCTGTACTGTCTTAAAAACTTCAGTACATGCCTTTAATCTATTTTGGTTTCATGCACATGTTAACTGTGTCTTACCACATTGTACAGAATGCGTGTGTTGACAAGTACATGCCAAGGAGAAGAAAGTGTGGGGGTTTTTTTCAGGCTGACATTTGTAACTAGAAGTTGGTTTTGTGGATTTGTGTTCTAAAGTTCTATCAAGCATAACTGCCTTTGATCTCACCATTAAGGTTTACATTAAGAAAACATATCGTTAAATAAACAATGGTAACCACACTAAAGTGGAACAAGCTTCTACCTCTGTTTAAAAAAAAAATGCAACCCCTGGGTATTATCCCTTCTACTCACACAGAGCGACTTCCTTTAAAATAAAACTTTCACAGTAGGTAGTAGATCTGAAAACAAATACAAGAAGGAAACTCTCTGAGCTGCATTAAGAATAACAAAGTAGTGTGAAAGTTTATA